ATATATATTTTATATATATTATATATAATATGTACAGTTTAGCTATAAAACTTTGATGTGTAAAGAAGCTGTCTTCAATGAAAAATTGAACATTCAGAGGAAATTCCTGAGTTAGGGTTTTGTGACATGGGCCACTGAGAAAAAAGCTGCGGTTGGGTCCTCAGAGGTGTTATGTCCATCCCTGTTAAGATTGAAATCAACATACAAAAACAGTGTTGCCACTGCTTCATTCCCTGCCTGAGCAAGGGATAGCACCATTGTGAAGAGAACTCCTGCTTGTAGAGAGGAGGGAATACTTAAAAACAGTATTGCTGCTAAGACCACTGTAGTGTGCACCAAATACGTTCTTCTAGACAACAAATGAACACTGCCACTGGCTGACTGAAGAACACCTGACCAGGTGTAACGTTAAGGTTACAAGTCACTAGGTGTAATCTTTCCTAGGTTGTTCATCTGTTGTACATTTATCAGTCATTTCCTGACAGAAGTCTACCGTGACCGTCTGGCTGCTCTGCTCTGGTGGAAGCTCTCTCTCGGGGTAAGTACCTGTGTCGGCTCCATCCAACCCCCCGCCAGCCGAACAATTCTCCGAGATGTTGTTGGGCAGCCAGGGTGCCCCCAGTTGCACCGAGCCTTGCTCCGAGCAGCACTGCATGCTCTCCCCGACGCACTGGGAGGTCACCAGGCTCTGCTCCACGCCAGCTGGGGAGGGGCTGATGGTGGTGGCCGGCTGTAGATCCATGGGTCTGAGAACGGGGCAGTATCGGTGGAGAGCTTGGATCTGTTCTGGGCTCTGCATATCTCTACACACTTCTTGGGAAAGACAAGAGAAGTTGTCTAACAATTCTCCCATGCTTGCTTTCAGTTGGTTCCTTTCTGAGAGCAATTTCTCCTTCTCACATACCTGAAAAAGAAAGAAGGTATCTTAGGTTGAGGAAGGGCCATCCACGAGCTGCACAATCCAGGCAGGTATGCAGAAGTACCCGGGAAGAACACCAGCACATCACAGTTGTTTTCATATGGGCAAAGAAAAAGTCACAAAGACATCAGGTACTTGACCACCATGAGGTTTGTGTGGACTACACCTTGGGAAACATCTGGACTTAAACATTTGACTTGGAAGAATATACAGTTACAAGTTATTGCCAAGAGGCTGTTAGTTCCCTTTATAGACTAAGGCTGCTTGGATGATACAAAAAACACTCTGAAAGAAACATTCTGATGAAGAAAAGACATTGCCCATCTAAACAGCAAGAAAATAGGGTTTAGTTCTTGAAGTCAGGATATGTTGCTAGGTCAGTGGTGAGTGCTCTCCTCCCTGTACTCAGGAGGCAGATTAGGAGAGTCAGGAACAGAGCCAGACCCGGCATGGAGTTACACCTCCAAAAACTGGTGTTGACCAGTGCAGACTGACCGGGATGGTCCTGGCGCGTCGCTTTCTGTCCCAGGAAGGTGGGCATACAGCTCAAGCGAGTAGATGAGATTTTGTAGAATACCAGAGCTATTTCCAGAGCTGAGCTGGCCCCCAGAGCAGCGCAGTTGTGTACCTCACCTAGTAACACTGCTAAACCCAAGCTGCCTCAGCATCTGAGGTGTGAAACCTCCACAACTCAGATCACCCAACTATGGGTGGTTGTTGACAGCTGATAGTATTGCCCTGGGTCTGAAGCCTGCACTAGAAGCACACAGCTGTGTGAATGAGAAAGAGAGCAGTGCACATGAAAAGAACCAACTGCTAAAATATTGATAAATCTATCAAGAAAGCAAAAAATAATAAAAAAATAAACAGATGCTCAAGTACATCTTGAGATAATGAATTATGGAAGAGAATATGCTGTGAATTTGCAGGGAGAAAAGGGAATGTGAGTGGGTAGATGGATAAAAGGGAAAGCAGGCAAAAAAAACCCAACCGATCAAGCTCAGAGGATACGACCATTACACTCACTGTCTGCTGTAAAACCATCTGTGTGAAGAAGATGGGTGACTTACAGGAAGTAAGTGCAGGGGGAGAAAAGGGTCTTTCATAAAAAAGACCCCCCCAAGTGAAAACCTCTTAAACCTCAGTACCACTACACAATTCAGGAGACTGGAAATTACTGGTCACGAAGTGGACAGAAGATGACAAAGGAATTTCCAGTGATGATGTGTGAAGCCAACTGGAGTTTCGCTGCTAGCTCTCCTAAGAGGAAAAATATAGATCTTGAAGCAGATTACCTGCTTGGACAGCATGTGTACAGAGGGAGGGCAGGAGTGCTTGAGAGGCAATGTTAAAGTTGCATGAGTTAAATTTTGCAGTTTATACTCTTGCACACCTCATGACTGTCTTTTTTTATGAATGTCCATTTTCAGAATGATGCGCCAGCTCCCACAGAATCCCATAGAATAGTTTAGGTTGGAAACCTTTAAAATCAAGTCCAACCATTAATCTAACACTGGCAAGCCCACCACTAAACAATGTCCATAAGTACCACGTCTACGTATCTTTTAAATACCTCCAGGATGGTACTCCACCACTTCCCCAGGTAGCCTGTGCCAATGCTTGACAACCTGCCTGGTGAAGACATTTTTCCTAAACCTCCCCTGGTGCAATTGGAGGCCATTTCCTCTTGTCCTATTGCTTGTTTCTTGGGAGAAGAGACCGACGCCCACCTCGCTCTATCCTCCTTTCAGGTAGTTGTACAGAGCGATAAGGTCTCCCTTGAGCCTCTTTTTCTCCAGGCTGATCAACCCCAGTTCCCTCAGCTGCTCCTCACAAGACTTATTCTGCAGACCCTTCACCAGTTTCACTGCTCGTCTTTGGCCCTGCTCCAGCATAGGAAGCTCTCTCTCTTGTAGTGAGAGGCCCAAAACTGAACACAGTATTCAGGGTGTAACCTCAACCCCTTCCCTAGCCCTACTGGCCACACTATTTCTGACACAAGCCAGGATGCTGTTGGCCTTCTTGGCCACCTGGGAACAAGCTGGCTGATGTTCAGTGGCCTTCAATCAGGACCCCCAGGTCCTTTTCTGCCGAGCAGCTTTCCAGCCACTCTTCCCCAAGCCTGTAGTGTTACTTGGAGTTGTTGTGGCCCAAATGCAGGACCCAGCACTGAGCTTTGTTGAACCTCACACAATTGGCCTCGGCTCATCAATCCAACCTGTCCAGATCCCTCTGCAATGCCTTCCTGTCCTCAAGCAGATCAACACTCCTGCCCAACGTGGTGTCACTTGCAAACTTACTGAGGGTGCACTTGATCCCCTCATCCAGATCACTGATAAAGATACTAAGCAGAATTTGCCCCAGTACTGAGCCCTGGGGAATACCACTGGTGACTGGCCACCAACTGGAGTTAACTCCATTCACCACCACTCTTTGGGCCTGGCCACCCTGCCAGTTTTTTTCTCAGCCAACAGTACACCCATCCAAGCCATTAGCAGCCAGCTTCTCCAGGAGAATGCTGTGGGAAATGGTGTCAAAAAGTTTTACTAAAGTTTTGGTAGGTAACATCCACATCATTTCCCTCTTCCACTAAGTAGGTCACCTTGACATAGAAAGATGAGATTAGTCAAGCAAGACCTGCCTTTCATGAACCTATGCTGACTGGTTATCAAGTATGTGCCATGTGATGGCACTCAAGGTGATTTGTTCATGACCTTCCCTAGCATTGAGGTCAGACTGACAGGCCTATAGTTCCCTGGATCCTCCTTCTGGCCCTTCTTGTAGATGGACATCACATTTGCTAACCTCTGGTCTGCTGGGACCTCCTAACCAGATCAAAGTCTGCCCTCTGGAAGTCCAAGGTAGCAGTTCTGCTGATGCCTCTCCTTACTTCTCCAAGAATCGAAAACTTGTCACCATTTTGTGGTTGCTGTGCCCAAGACAGCCTCCAAGCATCACACCACCAAGTCCCTCTCTGTTCACAAACAGGTCCAGCAGGTACCTTGCCTAGTTGGCTCACACACTACCTATTGCTACATACTCAAGTCCAGCTTGTTAAATCCAACATTTCTCTTGAAGAATTCTGCACCTTAAAGGGGTTTTGATTCCTGAAATTCAGGAGGGATCAGGACCACAAGGTCACTCATACACTTTTCATTCATTTCCCTGAGATATGTGTGTGCGCTGGTGAGAGAAAGGAACTTAAACATATTATTTTTGCCTATAGACAGGATTGAACATGTTAGACAGTAACATCATAGGATTGCAGAAAGCCAGTGAACCCAAATTAATTCTCAAGTGAAGGCTACAGGTGAAATCCCACCTTGCTGCTAGTCCAGCCCTTAAAAGTGGTGCTCTGCTCTGAAGAACAAGAGACATGTACTCCTCCCCATCACCAGATCAGCCAAGACTGGACCTACTTCTCCTGATAGCCTGGACAAGGAGTTGCTCTTTCACGCTGCAGGACCTCTGACTCAGACCCCGTGCACTGTGGATTATGCTTGCTGCTCACTATTTTGTTTACCTTTGATGTTTTGTTGTGGAGCATGACTCTGAACAATGCTTTGATTTTAATTTCTTCCCCCTCCACCCTGCTCCCGACTTCAGCAGCATGGCACCTAAAGGCTTCACAAGCCTTGATGATTTAAGCTTCCCAACCAGCTTATGGGGTCAGTGTCACATCCCTGTTCCAGAGGTGACGCAGACAGGCACAGGCAGTAAGTGAGTCACACAAAGTCAGGCGGCTTTCTGCCGTTTGTGAGGTGATGGTAACTCAGCTTCTTCCAACAGATGCCTCTTTCATACTACATTTGCTACAGCTCGTGCAGACAACAAAGCCTACACTGAAGGCCACTACTACGGCAAGAACAAGAAGTACCTAGCTTCCCAGATCCACCATGTTCAACCTACGACAGAGTACGTTTTAAATGTGCACACAGACATTTAAATCAAAGACTCCAAATAACCTTTAATTTTAATGGAAGCTGGGTACACAGAGATCTCAGTAAGGAAATCAACTCCTTTTGCTTTATAATGAATTAATTTATCACTTAAATCCTTGGATATTCAAAGGCTGGGTCTAATGCTAGACTCTTAAATCTACGCTTCGTAACGCAATTAAACTGTCCAGTCCTGCATGCTGCACACTCACACATCTCATAACAGCTGAACTGGGACTATTACATTATTTCTGACATTTCAGAAAGCACTTAGGACTTTGAAACAGATGAGGAGGTGCTAACCCATGTTGAAATTCCAGTGTTTGATTTCTCCTGCTGAGTGACGCCCATGTAGACATGTCTTCCTTCATGACCCTTGCCTCAAGCCTTTTTTTCCGCTGTTTATCATCTTGCTTTCTCAATGGACAAAGGATGTCAGGGCCTTCAGACCACAGGGGCATGGTCACAAAGGAGGGGAGTTTTTTCAGGTAAGGTTCCTACAGCTAAGATGTCTGCATCTGACATGGCTCTCCAGGTGATCTTATTTACAAATGGAGAGGAACGGGCACTTCTGGGCTATATGTCACCTTCCCTGCTGCAGGATGAGACAAATAAGACTTGACATTTCACTGAGTATAAAGGAAACCAGGACAAGTAGCTCCAGTGCAAGTGTCTATATTGTAGACATCTTTGTGTAGCCACCCAAATCACACCTGAGGTGTTCATAACGTTACTGAAAGAGAGAGGGATTTCCTGAGCATCCACTTAGCCTTGCTCCAGTCAACTCAGTCCTTCAGATTAAAATGTGGTAGCACTGTCCATTGACACCTTGGCACACAGGAGACCTGTCCCCACATGTACTCTGGCCAGTGACCAGGGCATGCTTTGCTCTCCTCTCCACAGCAGACTGCTGAGAGAGACAAATGTCAGTGAGGGTTGGGGCCAACCAGCAGCTGCCGCCTGAACCAGGTACACAGGAGATGAAGGCCAGTGCACCGTGGAGTGGGAACAGGCCTTTTGTGTTAGATGGTCCCTGAACCATGGGGGGTGTGTGTGTTTCAGTCCATGCCAAACCAGGAGCGTTAGAGGGGAGAAGACAGCAGGAGCATACCCTTGCCATCCCACTGACATACACCAAGGGATGCCCACTTGTCTGGATATTCACATTCCTGGCTTTTTAGTTCCCTTTCAGTTTAGGCCATTTGCTCAGTAAATGAAAACATAGTGAGCTGAAATGTCCTGAAAACACTGACCTGCCTTCTAGCACACCAAAGAGAAAGAAAACTTCTGTGTAGAGATGAAGCTGGCCCTGCCACACCAATGTTTGGATCAGACAACCTCTGAAGTTCTTGTCACACCTCTCTCTTTTGAGCACTCCACAAATCCCTGACCAACAGATTGTTATGGTATTTAGGCATCGAAATGGGGCTTGGATGAGGAAATGCCATTGTGGGGGCACTGTAAATACTGGGAGTAACTTAAACTGCAAGAAGGGAGCTGTGATACAGGCTTCCCTCCTCTTCCAACTCACTCAACAATTTTTTATTGAGGTATCAAAATAAAGAGATATCTAGGCCTCATTCCATTGTGTTTCCCATGGATACCATATACACGCATATTAATATACTTTTGCACATTAAATTTTCACACTAATGGCTCTGCTTACTCATGTACAGACTGACTGAACCCACTGAACTCTGGACAGGAATTGGTGTGGGTGCCGTGCAAGCTGCAGGGTGAGGGCGAGTGAGGTCACAGCGGGCCCACACAACTCACCAACTTGCGGATTTCACATTCTAGGTTCTGAATACAGTCCAGTTTCCTCTTGCGGCAGCGCTGAGCTGCAATTCGGTTCTTGCTGCGCCGGCGGACATCATGGATGAACTCGAGCTGCTCTGAGGTTAGCTTGTGCATCTTTATCATCATCTGGAAATCATTCCGTGGAAGATCTGTGATTTGATCAACAGGAAAAGGAAGTTTCACCTAAAACAAACAAACAGAAAACAGGAACAAAAAGTCATATTTTGCTTGCTGAATGCAAGCTGAACAACAGTGAGCGGAAGGATGAACACCTATGCTGCCGAGCCCTAAATAAACAACACACCGAGTTTTACACTGAGCAAGTTTCCAACACTCCCTTGTGGCACGTTGTGGAGGTCCAGCTGGTAAGGATCAGATATGATTATACTGAAATCAGCAATATAGATGAGTCCCAGGTAAAAATGTCATTCTGAAAAGCTCTAAGAGATTTCCTTCTCTAAGAGATTTCCTTGCATTAAAAGAAGGTTCTGTCCACTAAGAGACACAGCCCTTTGAAAACAGTGAGGTACCTCACTGATATTGATTTCAAACTAATTTTAAGGAATGAGCTATTACTGCAGCCAGAAATCTGTCCCTGCATGGCCTGCAGGACTGCAATTCTGATTAGATGTGAGGTTAAAAATGCAGCCTGACACCTCAAGTGTATGAAAAATACCATATTGCAATTAGTCAAGGTTGTCTAATCAGCATTTCAACTGAGCAGTATACCATATAAGAAGAAAGAGTCAGAGGAGTGTGATGCAATTTATTCTATCCTGCTAAAACATACGCACTTTGAAATAAACCAATATTTGCTGATATTCTAATATTTTTGTAGACTGAAGAGAACCCAACTCGCATTTCTTGAAAAAACCTCAAACAGTCTAAAACTTCAGTTACTTGCAGAAAACCATTTTGATTTGGGCCACGAACTGCCATCCTGTTTTGATCCAGGCCATGCAACAGTTCTGACCTCAGCAATGCCAACCATCTTGCCAACTCTTACTGATTATGCATTAAAGCAAAGCAAAACACAAAGCTCCTGACAGCTTGGAGCAATGAACACACACCGCTTCAAAACCTGGAGAATAGTGGATGCACTCAAAGACTTCTGTTAACCTTCTTCCCCAGACCTACTAGCTTGCTCAAATCAAGGTGAGCACCTCTCCCTATGAACCTTGCTTCACATCCAAAAAATGTTCCTCGGTGGACTGCTGTGTTTGGGGATCAAATAAGAATCAGCTGACAAGGCTGAAGGAGATGACAACCGAGTATGACCCCTTTTCCTTTTCTGAGCCATACCCACACTGACCAAAAGATGGCAGTAAATATTTACATTTCTGTCCTGATTTGGTACAATCCATTCTCTCAAAGAAGCCTATTCTGCATGCAGGCTACCAAAGAAGATACAACTTAAGTTGCTCCAGCCAAGCAGGAGATACGGGTTGAAAAGGTCGATTTTTCTATTTAAAACATGGTTATTGTCTTTAAATGGTGCACTTTAACTAATTTGGAGATAAAGCAAATAACAGCACAGATTAGAAATAAGTTATTTTCACTGGAGAGCTGAGTTTGTTACGCAGAACAGTTTAGTGAGGACACATGCACACAACATACAGCAGTGGCCTCTGGCACTGACTGTCATAGACCCTTGCTGGGCATCTGGATCTGCCAGTATCCAGCTCCTTGCCTTGCTCATGACCTTGTGTTTTCTTACACTCTTCTATCATTGCTCCATGCATTTCGAAGCCTGGGCCACGTGAAATTCAGTGCATCCTTTCAGACGGTTTCATGCCCTGAACCTTGTACCTCTGCCCCATGTATCCAGGCACTACTTTGTAACACACTACCTGACATGTCAATTGAAACTAGCAAGAAACACCAAACTGCCCCAACCACCCTAAATTCCTGCTTGTACATACAAAGGCTGACCTTAGGCATGGTGATGTGGACTGCCTTGTTTACAGACTGCTAACTAATGACATGAAACCTGTTTGCTTTCCCCTCCTTAGCCTTTGGACGGTCAACATAAACTTGGTGTCACCTGCCTTTCTCTCAAGCTTCAACCAGGGTCTGAAAATGAAAACACCTTGTGCTCTCCCCTGAAAGACACCACAGTTTCACTGCAAAAACAGTCCTTTCACTTTCCCAGTTTTTCCTTATTTTCTTAAGTCAAAAGCAGAAAGCGATGTTAACTTTTTTTCTCCCTCCCTCTCCTTTCAAAACATATTTACTTGCAAGGAGGAGATGTGCTTGCAGCTGGAACAGGAATGAAAGGGAAGCAACTTACATCTGTCACGTAGAAGTTATTATAGGGAAATGGGAAAACAGATAGAAACAATTCATTAAAAAAAAAAAAAGGATTGAAAATAAAACCATGTACACAGCAGGCCAGAGACTGCTATCAGTAAACCCAGCATAATCCCACTCCTGTCACAGGCAGCGCTGTGCAGGATTAAAAACGTGAAAGGGAAAGTGGAAGCGACTCAGACTCATTTCCTTCACCATTCACAGCATTTTTATTGCCTGTCTCCCTCTCCAAAATCTGCTGTCAACTGAAAAAAAGCCAAACCCCACCACCAAGCCTTTGGCATGGACACAGTGAATAACTGCACCAGAGTACTGCTGCCATGAGAGGCTAATGGTGTTTTATGTTGGCACAGGGAAAGACTCTCAGCTGGCATTTATCCTAACAGAGTGGTAAGTCGATTTTTAAGAGCCAGCCACTGTAGCATGGGTAGGATTCATCTGACCCACTTAGAACCGTCTGAAATGATGGTTTCACTAGCTGGCATCGAGGACAGAGAGGCCTTCAGATGGCAATGCATCCCACATTGCTTCTCCCTCCTCCTGGCTGCAGAAGGAGCAGAGATGAGACTTAGAGAAGATGCTGCATGTCGGTAGGTAGGTGAGAGAAACCTTAGTTGTGGTGTCTGAAAAAGGACAGTCAATCTTTTCTAAGCTGTGTAAGAAAACCCCAGCAAGTATGTTTTCTTGTAAAATTTTCTTCTTAATAACTATGAATTTTATACAGGAAATGACTGTCTACTCTTTGGTTTGGACTATTTCAAACTAAAAATATAAGCTGGATCCCTTCTCGTTCCAGGAGTTACTCCAGCCAGAACTAACCTCACAGAGCTCTCAAATCTTCCCTATCAGCACAACTACTCTTTCTCTGCATTTTCACA